CACAAGCCTCGAGAAGCTTCTTTGTGCTCTCCGCCTCGTCTTTGCTGAGGTCCTTCTTCAACACGCACGGAGCAGCCTGGTCACAAAAAGCGAAAATTGATTTAGCCATAAGTAACTTGCAAAATTCCCCTTGTAGACTCGAGGGTGGGCTCTGGACATCTAAAGAAAACTCAAAAAAGTTCTAATTCGTGATCCTCATGAATGGGCAACAAAACAGGGTCATGGTTGTAGCAGCTCCTATTCGAAGTTAAGTGAATTAACAGGCAGACACTCATTAGGAAGGATCTAGTTGCCGGTTATTATCAAGTTCTGAGAAGGCCTTTGATGAAGAAATCGAAATGTAATGTTAGTTGCTGTCATTGCGCGTTTATCTTTGATAAATTTTCATCAGTTTTTTTAGGGAATGTAAGCACCTAAATAAGAATTCGAACATGTATGTTTATTGTGAACCACATCCTGGTTCTAAAATGTGATATTCTTGCACATGGAACCGCACCAGTATTTGGCTCTAGCGGCTTACTTTTGGATTACTACAGTGCATGTGTTTAATTATATTTAGAGTTAGTTAGATAGGTAATTCCGAACAGACCTTATAATCAAAAAATTATTTGGACAGTGACTTTTTGATGTTCCAGCTATTCTCACCAAATTTTTCTGTGGTACCGAGCAAATTAGTGGCCTTTTTAAGTAAAGTGCATTAAAGTTAAATAAACAAATTTTTCAGTTTGCTTGTTGTTTTTTTTTTGAAGGCCCTGTCGATGAACTTGTTAACTATTTAGTGTTATTTCGTAAATTCATCATGATGCTACTTCCCTATTTGAACTCTAGAAGATTTTAAGTGAACTCTAAATTAGTAACTACTAGACTTTTATACGTTATTAAAATAATTACCACTAGTTTTATTATGATTTTATGCAAACGATGGACTGACTCGGTATTGTAGTAACCTAGCCAACAGTTTGTAACCCGAGTACTTACGTCAGCCCACGATATTAATGCTGTCCATTGGTACCATTATGTCCTCCTCGGTCTTTCGCTCTACTCTTTGCAGACGGATACTTCAGGGAAACTTAGTTAGGATTTTTCCGGTGGTGCCACTAACTTCCAAAACTAGTGAAAAACTTTATCCACCAACGTTAAATGAAGTAGAAAAAGAGTACCCCACACATATTGTAAATATTGTGGACCAAATTGCCGCTTTGACACTGTTGGAGGTTGCAGATTTGAACGAATTGTTAGCCAAACGACTTAATATAAAGGTAAGTTCTGCGGGGTGCTGTTTCAATTGCCAAATCATTTACGAGTTTTTTAAATTGCCCTTGTCATACCTCATGCAATATTTGTGGTCATATAATCTGAATTTTCCTATACTTATTCTACTTCCCTAAGTAAGGTGATATCACCCATTATTTGTGTTAATGGTCTGATTTGAAACGCTAATGAAAAATGATCGGATTGATTTTTCAGTCGTAGTGCTTTTATACCTGTCTGGTCTCGTGCCCTCGTTATGATAAAGTACCCATTTCAGCCAAATTGAACCAAAAATTCGCTGAATGGCACTTGAACGCTGAAGCATCGTTAAAATTCTGAAGGCCTTGTTGCAGTAATCAATCTAACGGGCGTCTCTTGCGTTTGAGCAGATGTACACCAAATAGTGAAATCTGTTTATTTTTTTAAGCGGAAAAGGCGTTTACACTTTACCTGGCAGAACATAACAGAGTCCACATTTTTAGGCACCATCTCATAGCATGGCTTTCATGCCGCCTCAACCAACTGCGCAAGCCAGTAATGAGGACTCAGATCAGGCCGACCAAGCCTCTAGAAAAACCTCCTACACTCTGAATTTAGTTAAATTTGATGCAAAAAAGAAAGTGGACCTGATCAAGGAGATAAGGAACGTCGTCCCGGATCTAAATCTTGTTCAGGCAAAGAAACTTGTTGAGGCAAGTTGATACATCTTCACATTTCGTTGAGTACTGCCCCTCGTACATCGTTTTATTTTCCACAGGCGGGCCATTTTTCATTTATCATTTTGCCTCTCTGTTGTCAAACAATCCTAGTCTAAAATCACCCTGAAATCTGGTATTTTGGGCAGACACTCTCGCCTTCATGTTTCTGCACCAGCTTCTTTGCTTTCTTTCATTCGTAGTTGTTCGTTGAAGGATACAACTAAAAATCAACTAGCTGCCTGTTTCTCAGTGGCGCTACCTTGTACTAACTCCTAATAACAAGCGATACATTCTTTTCTGGATGTGCGCGTCGTTATTCGCGTTTCTAATAACTCAAAACTGGGGTCATGTGGTCACGGAAAGTCCAGGCAAACCGTGGCTGAAGTCCAAAGAGGTGAGAATCCCATTTTGAATTAATCGTGGATGAATCCGCAATGTCAACGCGTCCCCTGCACTTCGACAAATCATTTTAGCTTCGATTTCTGCATCAAAGTCCTGCTCAGAACTTGATAATAAACTGAAACTAGATCCTTCCTAATGAGTGTCTGCCTGTTAATTCACTTAACTTCGAATAGGAGCTGCTACAACCATGACCCTGTTTTGTCGCCCATTCATGAGGATCGCAAATTAGAACTTTTTTGAGTTTTCTTTAGATGTCCAGAGCCCACCCTCGAGTCTACAAGGGAAATTTTGCAAGTTACTTATGGCTGAATCTATTTTCGTTTTTTTGTGGCCAGGCTGCTCCGTGCGTGTTGAAGAAGGACCTCAGCAAAGACGAGGCGGAGAGCACAAAGAAGCTTCTCGAGGCTTGTGGAGCCAGTATCGAACTCGACTGAATGTCATCATCTTCGCCGTCATAGAAGTAGTGTCACCACCTGACCATGTAAATAATTTTGCACACGACTAGCTTCTTTTTAATCGGGGTTTTGGATCAGGTGGCATTACTTTCACAGTCGCCAAATCAAACAGAAGTACGCAACAGTGTTTTAGAGCATTGTATTTGAGTGCGCATTCCTCAGAAGTAGGTAGCCTTTCACTGTGTCCGCGGGTAGGTCCTTAATAACTCGGTACTCATCCGCGTTGGCGTACCGTAGTTTCGTGGACGGCTCCTGCAGGTTTGAGGGTAGACCACTGAGATCGGACACCTTAATACCAGGACGTAGACTCGGGGGTGCTTCAATCTGGTGGTAGAGAACAGTGCCCTCGGGCCATCGGTACTGGCACTCAGCGTTCACCAACTGACGCAGAGATCGAAGAGGCGGTTTCTTTTGACACTTGTCGGAACCTTGCTTCTTAAACTGGTATACAGGCTTGTCCATCTCTAACTAAAAGAATAAATGTTGAAGAAATCAGCTGCCCGAGCACTACTGGACCAGGTGAAACGCGTATTTTTTTTGTGTTGGTTTTTAATTGCGGTCTAAATGACAGTCTGGGTTAGGTTGTCGCAATGGAAATTTCCTTAAATTGCAACTCAATAGGTTTCGGACTGCGATTTTTTTTGACTTTATTCTTACGTAGTGCAACTTTAGTAACTTTACATCTTTAGCGCTATGCAATTGCACCCCAGGCTGTATTAGTGTCGCCGCTAAAGGCTCACCTAAAGCGCTATATACTATTGAAAGGACGTTTTGCTAAGGTGTTGACATGCTTGTAAATTGCAGCATACTCGAGAAATTTCAGCACCCCACGTTCATTGTGTGCTGCAACCTCCTGCATTTGCACACTGGCTAAGGGCAAGACGGAGTTTCTAGAAGTCGAATGATCTGTCAGATCTGTCAATGGCTATCCGGACTTATTGGATCAAGGCTATTTAACACAGGTGAGGCTTTCTGTTGGGTGCCAGAAGTGAATCAAACAATTAAAAAACCAAACCCATGATGAGCCGACTTGGTGAATGCTGAGGACCCAACAAAATACTGTTAATTTTTTCAATAAATATTTTTAATTACAAAACTTGTCGTGGAACTTAAAATATCTTAGTCCATTTGTTTCGTTAAAATTACTTGTTTGCTGCATCTATTTTGCTCCAAATGGGGGAATTCACAACTCAACAAATGAATAATAGCGATTTTACGTTTGCTCAAACGAAGAGCTGGAATAAATTCTGGAGATCGAAATTCGCAAATAGTTTAGGGCGATAAATATCCAGTTTTTAATGTTCTTACATCGAAATATTACTGATCTGACAAACGCGGGAACGTTAATGTATTTTGGCAACTTTGAACTCATTGCTGGAAATATTCCAACGTTGCATATTAATAACTAGCCTAAAAGACAGCCCTGTGGCTGCAGCGCTAAGTCCAAAATACGGTACAAAGTCAAACGTGACTGCATGCTTTAAAATGCAATTCAATAATAACTTTTATGCTTTTAATAATTTTTTTTATAAAATAGTTCAAATAACTCATTGTAGACAATATCAAGCCATCTCCCGTCGCTATGTTACCAATAGATTACATAAAAATGCAACTTTCACCATAGTTCCATTCCTATCCACATGTCACTGTAGGCATCGTCTGTTACCAAGGGAAAGGTGATTAATTGCCTCCTTATATGGGCGTCTGTGACTACATTTTGAAGATAACAAATCTAAATGTCGATCACAAGTCTGGTTTTTAACTTCATTACCTGTCTACATTATATATCGAACGTTTTCTCCCTCTGTTTACAAGTTAATTTCTTTTCTAATTAAGTTATTGACAATAATTTCTTAGCTCTCTAATTTTAATTTTGCTCGATTTCGATGTTTAATTCTGGTTTATTATAAGCATATTTTTGTGCACTTTCATGGAAAAAAATATGGTATCCAAAATCACAAAAGATATAATGCTTAAAAATAAATGTTTATCACTTTTCAAAACGAATTAACTGTGGTCTTTTTAAACTGATCAATGTTTCTATTATTGTCTCTGACCTTAGTGGGAAGTTCATGTTTGCTGCATTGTTGGCGGGGCAAATAGTAAGAACACCAAGTTACGATTTTTTGTAGGTTCAATCCAATTTTGTGGAAGTTTCTCCAGGCAAATTATTACTGAGTTTACCTCCACTGGGAAAAAACAACCACATCGTGGTCTTTCTAACAGGGCAAGCGCCTTTGCCCGCTGGTATCGGGGCAGGAGGTTGGTAGTAAAACAATCTTATTCTCAGTGCATTTCGGTTTAATTGAAAATGGCTTACCAACTTGGAGCTACCTCGGGTTCCTTTCAAATGAGCGCCCAAGTGCAATTTTTAAGGTTTCTGGTCTAAAGCCAAGTATGTTTTGTCGCCCTAGTTAATCGTTTCTAAAAGGTGCCTTAAACCAAGTCATCAATCCATTCCAAAATATAACCGGTGGTTCTTCCAATGGACTTATTACTGCACAGGTTGGTATTTCTCTCGAGCCTATGGCTGATTTGCTCGGTCAAACTCCGGCTGTTGGGAGCGCTACCGATTTGGTGAAGGTCGATGACAACATGAAGTTCACACAATTTGCGGCGCAAAACTTATTTAACTTCGCGGCTGGCTGTGCGCGGGAAGTACCAGGAACCTCCGAGGCTTATGTTCCTCTATCGTCTATACAACGGTGGTTTGAAACAATTCAGAGAAAATTGTCACTTGATCCAAACTTTTGGAAAAAATAATCACTTCGAACTTTCTCGACAAATTTGGAATATGCGGAAATAAAAAAAGTGATTTTGCTACAAGAAGCGTTTTCTGTAATTAGAATTGGGAAGGTTAAAGGTAAAACTCAAAAATTATTGTTTATATTCACAAATCGTCGTACATTTGGCTCATGTTCAGTCATCAATTTTTATATACACATGCAACAAATGTAAATTCTATTGTTTTCTAACTTTAAACTAGACCCCTTTATTAGAATGGTATTTGCCCATATCACTTGAAACATAGCTCACAGTAGTGTGGTGGTTCAATTTAACCCTTATTTGAACCATGTAGGGATGCAAGAAGATTGACATATTTTCTTGGATCACTTCGCTAAATCGTGGAGTCTATATCCTTTTTGAGATTTTCAACTGCTCCCACCAATTTTAGGCAGGTATCTGGTGATTTGTGGCTCCTCTCACGCACTGCGTTTGTTGTGTATCTGAACACGTCTTACACACGGCCTACTATCATTTGCAATCAATGTAACGGTTTTTTTCTGGTCTGGTTTCCCATTCGCAGCTATCACTCGTCTGAAGATCAGATTCAAACCAAATAAGCTACAGAAACAGCGCACACTTTATCTGCGCTCTTTATAAGATTATCAATGATGGTTCAAAACGTTCGACTTACTGCACAGCATCAACTCCATTTGTCCCTGCGCCTAACCATTTACCATCTAATAAGAATTAACCTCACAAACGGTAAATCGGAATATTCTGATGCCTGAGCTAGGTTATTTGATCTTGTTTAAAATGCTTACCACAATCTACAAATTCTTCTTCTCTCTCTGAAATCCATACTGTCTCTCGGGATAACTTAGAGTGATGTAAAGCTGACAAAACTGTGTGCCAACTGGTGTTGGAACTCACGAGTAGTATTTATTCGTCAAAAGTAAAAATGTCGAATCCATTCACCCAAAATTCTTTATCCATGCGTTTAGTAGTGAGGCACGCACCCTATTGAGCCGTCAGTACAATTAGTATGCGCTGAATTCAAGGCTGTAATGCTCAAATGTGGATTTGGAAAATGAAGTCTGAAGTAATGACATTAAAGTCAATACCAAATAGGTGCTAGTCCGAAAAGGATATGACACCGTTCCCTGATTTAGAGTGTTCTAGGTTTTTGCGTTGGTGTCAAAATGCAGTGAGTGCTAATACAGTAATTTTGCCAGCTTAAAGTGAGGATTTGTTGGTTTCATGTATTTAAGAAGGTTGTTGTAGTATAGCATATACAACATTCAGCACGTGAAATGAAACAACACACAGAGAACGCCGAATTGATATAACAGGATTTCAATCGCCACCAGAGCATATTAATCAACGCATTCCCATATTTAGGAGCTAATAAAGACATAATACGCAAAAACTAACCTTTTAGTGACTATAGTAGGAATGTGAAAAATTTTAAGAATTTTACTTAACCAATTTCAGTAAAAGGATTCGAGTAATTTGGACGTGTGACGAAAACGCCTTCAGATTGGTTGCTGAGTATACCATGAAGACAAACAGTCACATCTGCTTAAACGATGGCATTTTATCTAACCAACTACATCGGAACTGTTTCCGGATAGCCAGCTAAGAGGATTCATAGTCAGATTGAAGGGGTAGGTAATGGCAAACAATGAAATTTCTCTGACTGAGCAAAACACATTCTGGGAGAAAGAACATCAAGAGAACAACATCAGGTTTGTTCCATAATAAATTTATATACAGCAGCAAAATGATCATACGCGCTTAGAATAGTAAGTTTTATTCGCTTGCAAATTGCACCATTGAGTGGAATCCTCGTGATTTGTACTTGGCCATCACACGAATCCACATTCATCTCAACAGCCTCCTTGAATTTTTCAGCATCATCTGGAGAGGTTTCAACCTAAGGTGAATTAACTTTAAAAATAAAGTACCAAAATTGTTTTGACGCAGGCTGAAATTAATTTGACTGAACTTAGCTTTACTTTTGCCATCAACGAGATAATTAAACTTTGAGGAAATATCCCAGTCGTCAGCCAAAAATTGTTTTCTTTAATGTTCAATACATTTTCTGGTGAAAAGAGTTCATCGTTTGATGTCGCTGCGGTTACAGTAGCCGATAAATCCATCCGAGAAAAAAAACGACAAGAAACGTTACTATGGTTACGTCGACTTATACAAACTAATTTAGTTACTTAAAACAGCATCATTGCTAAGCAAACATACTTAAAACCTACATTTGAATAATTTTAAAGAGTTTTCTCTGAACTTCTGCAAACAAAAATTGATGAAAGCAAGAATATTAAATCGATTAGAGCCCTTGAAAATAGTAATCGAAAGTTTTTTTAATCGTTTGTTCTTTCTGTATCAGTTAAGTGGAGCACAGATAGTTTATAGTTTGCTTCATTATACAAGATATTTAAATAGCTAGGGATAAAATAACAATCACATCTAAGTGGATTCATAACTTGTACTAATAAATAAAAATGGTTGATCAGTAGCTGTTAGCAAAAAGTCAGCGTTGAAGCTCAACCTTCAAAATATGAGCAACTTGACGTCTTTTCGAATATTAACGAACTGAATTTTCATTCATTAATTAGCTACTAAAAAGAGGCGTGCATAAATTGCTGTTCGTATTATAAAAAATATTAACCTTTAAAATTAATCGCAAAAAAACTTCGTCCCGTGTTTTTTTTGCATTTACTGCCTCAGTAAAAGTGATAATTATAAAAGCGATTCCATGTGAAGCTAAATTATGATCAACGGAAAAATGTTGAAATTATTTAGTAACCAGAGGTAAATTTAAGTATTTAAAAAAATGCAGACGTATGTGCAGTAACATGGGTTTAAGTGTGCTGCAATCTTGTCATTATTTTGGCTTGTTTGCGATTTAAATACACTTCATAAAACAAACTTCGTTGCGATTATTTTATGAAAAAAACCCAGTAAATGAATTTTTAATCGCGAAAAAAATTAATGCTTGGCACATTTGACGATATAACTTAACGTAATTACTGCACGTCTGATATTTAATTATGTTTTACTGCATCTAAAAGCAATAGCCTTTGATTTTATTGGTACTTTGATTTTTCGTTGATGTCTGTCGTCGACCCAGCCGGTGATGGCGTCGGGCTCCAAGCACGGGGGCAAACAGTCACTGATTTTAAATCTGCTCATGTTAGAGAAGCTGATCTACCTATTTCGAAACTTTCCGACTTTTACATTGGGCGCCCTTTGGGAACTGGAAAGTTTGGGAATGTATTCTTAGCCAGAACCAGGAAAGAAAATTTCGTCTGTGCATTGAAAGTAACGTACATATAGCAAGTAACCTTTGGTAGATTCTGTTCAAGAAGCAACTTGTCCGATGTAACGTGGAACATCAATTACGCCGAGAAGTTGAGATTATGTGTCATCTGCGGCATCCACACATACTTCAATTGTATACGTACTTTCATGATAGTACGAAAATTTACCTTGTTTTGGAATACGCATACTATGGCCAAATGTACAGCCATTTGCAACGTGAAAAAAGATTTAGCGAGCGGAAAGCTGCCACAGTTAGTATTGCATTAGTTTGATTTTTTTAGTATGTGTATCAATTATGTGATGCCTTAAAGTACTGTCATGCGCGTCACGTTATTCACCGGGACATAAAGCCAGAGAACCTACTGCTCGGTTTGTACAATGAGCTCAAGCTAGCTGATTTCGGCTGGTCTGTTCATGCACCTTCACTAAGGTGAGAGATCCTGTGTTTATATTGTCACAACACCTTTCTCTGTTTATTTGATAACCGAATTTATTCGTAACGGATAAAACCGTCGATCTAGCGCCGTTCTTATTTCGTTTCCCTACTGGAGTAATATTTTATTTAATTACACTCGAGTTTCAACTGTATTAAAAACTACCATAAAAGTAGATCTAGTTAAGTGTTGTTGGGTTGATAGTTCTATTATGTTAAGTTTTAAGAGCGTACGACAAGTCATGCTATGCGCGAATTGTCTTAAAACTGCTCACATTTTAATTATTCCATTCTGTTATTCTAAAATCTTTTCTCACAGACGCAAGACAATGTGTGGAACTATTGACTATCTCCCACCAGAGATGATCCTTGGTCACCATCACAACGAACGAGTCGACCACTGGGCTGTGGGTATTCTTTGTTACGAGATGCTCAGTGGTCATCCTCCCTTCGAAAGCGATGATACTAAAGAGACCTACGCCCGCATCAGAATCGTCAAATATAGATTTCCCTCGGTGATTGGGGCTCTCGCGCAAGATCTTATCTCAAAGGTATGTTGCTACTCACAAATATGCCTGACATCAAGTTTACTTATTTACATAAGAAACCGTTTGTGCAGCCACATCCCACAGATGCACCACAGACCCCTTTTGATGTCTTTCAGATTCTTGTCCTCAACCCGGCTCATCGACTTGATCTCGATTCAATCGTGCGGCATCCCTGGGTCCAAACCTTCGCTTCCAAGGACACTTTTTTGAAATAACAGTTTTTTAACCTGCAAATTGAGTACATTTTTAGATCTTTCTACATGATTAGGTGCTTTGTAATTTGTTTCTGGAACAAAACGCCTTCGATAAATCTGAAGCAGCAAGGGTCGAGTTATAGTAATAAATACTGGGTCTACCATTAAAAATTACTAGAATGTCGTGTGTGTTTAACATCTGGCTTTGTCCTCTGCCTCGAGTTCTCTGGGCCGTAACAAATTACTAAATGGCCCACGGCACTTGACAGCTAGAGGGCTTGATATTTCCGTCAACCGGAGATGAGGACATGGGTGCCGGGGATACGCATGACCTAATGCACTTGTTTACTAATGTGAATGAGTTTGGGTCTAACTACTTTCTGTGCGTTTGTTGAGTGTTGTAAGGTAACAAGGGTCCACTCCTAGAGAGGTCAGACGGCCATTGCTCAGTTCATAACATCTCACAAACGCTGTACGTGATATTAGTGCAAACCAATCTTTACTGGAGCTAACTAATACCATCTGAGTAGAGAAATCAAGTTGTTTTAGCAAGAATCCTCCTGGTGACAGTGGACTGCTATTTCCGCTCGCGATAATGTGCATCAGAGTCGATACGCACCAGTGTTCCAAATTGACAAACGAAGAAGAGTAGTGTGTCTACCAGGAGCAGGCAAGGAAACCGAGGTTCGTGTTGTTTGTACTACGACCAATTACTTTATTTAGCACATTGAATTGGGACAACAGTTAAAAGTATCCAAAATGAAGGGACGCCTTCATGTGCCTTTTATAAATAGAGTAAGGCATTTATAGAAAAAAAATTTATGTGAGATAAAATTCGGTCATTGTGTGCCTACGAAGAAACAACGAACCAGTCAAAGGATGTTCCTTAAAATTTACGATACGACAGTGTGCGCAGATTGAACGTCATGATAGCGATCCGATGGAAAATGAATTTGCGGAAATCAGGAAGCGGACTTTACATTACGGTGGATACTTGGCGTAACGGCAAGTACATGAGCGATAAGTTCATTAATGGCCGCTTCCTTATTTTCTTCATATCGACTTCTTAACTTTTGGATTGCCTCCGCGGTAAATGCCTCAACTTTGCTTCCGGAGTCCGTATCATACTGCGAAAACTACAAAAAATAATTAGAAAAAACACGAATACCTTTTTCTCAAGTTCCTTGAGGGCAGCTTCACGTTCAGCT